GATTGATCATATACGTGGAAGGTTGGACGAAGGGGTGGTGGGAAGAAAGGTGAAATGGGAACATTATGTTCTTTTTAAGTAGTAGAGAAGATAGACATCATACTCCGTCCGTCCGCGAATAAGTGTACATCTAGCTTTTGTACTAAGTCAAAATTTTAAAATTTTGACCAATTTTATAGAAAATAGTAGTAACATATATGAATCAAATTGGTATATTATCAAAGTATATTTTAAAACGAATCTAGTGATACTAATTTAGTGTCATAAATGCTTTTACTTTTCCTTAAAAAGTTGGTCAAAGTTTTAAAGCTTTCACTTCAGACAAAAGCTAGATGTACACTTATTCACGGATGGAGGGAGTACATACCTAGAGCATGTACAACCGAACCTCTCAAACCCGCTTCATACGCTCGGGCGGACCGCCCGGTCAGTGTTCAGTCATGATTTTTTTGACCCAGACGAACCTGTCAAACGGCCCTCAGATGCCCGGGCTGACCGGCACTTTCCATATCCAGCCCAAATATGGGGAGGATATTGGGGTGCCCGCCATGTCGGCCTGACGGCGTGGCCCCACACAGAAACGCCCAGAAACCCAGCGGTCCGATGGACGCCACGTGGCGCCGCTCCGGCTCGCCGCCCTAGACGAACTCCAACTATTTAAGCCGGCTGGTGTCCCACAACCCTAACCTATCCCCTCCTCTCTGCACCGCCAGTCCGAGCCCATCCACCTCCTCTCTCTTCCGCTCCAACGCTCTGCCCACACTCCGGCACTCCGCCATGGTCCGGAGCAAGATTGCGTACTATGTCATGCTGACGCCGGAGCGCCGCTACGAGATCCATCAGCAGACCCGGATGAGGGAAGCCGTGCGTGCCGCCCGCATCGCTGTCGGGCTGCCTCCGGACTCACCGGAGCCAGAGGAGGAGGAGGAGGAGATGGCTCATATGGAGGTGGAGGAGGCGGAGGAGGCGCACTAGCAGGTGTCGCCCTTCAACATGGAGCAGGCGGAGGCGGAGTTTGCCGTTGCGCAGTCCGACGAGATGGCCGAGCAGCACGCCATCCTGGAGTCCATCTAGGATGAGGCCTATGTGTAGGCCAACCGGGCATTCCTCCGGCGGGAGCAGGCGGAGTCCAACGCGATCTTCGCCGAGCTCGCCGCGGAGATAGAGGCGGAGGAGGCCGGAGCGAAGCAGCCGAAGGAGCCGGAGCTGCAGCCGCCGTCCATGCTGCCGGAGCCAGGCACGAAGATCGTCGTGATCTCCGACGAGGAGTAGCCAGGATCGACGTAGTATGTAGGTTCTATTTCCTTTTGTATGTCTTTGTATGGATACAAGAATCGACTATGAGATGTCTGGATGCAACAAGTGAAATTTGAGGCATGCTCGGTCACTGCCGGTGGACGCGCCTGGGCGCGTCCGCGGGCGTTTGAGGGTCCAGATTTGTCATATGTGGTTGTAGATGCTCTTAGAGCATCTCCCAACCAAAAGACCCTACCGGCAATCCTCACATGTCCAGGCGGATAGCCAGGGCAATATCCGGAAAAAAAATCACCTAATCGGATCCCCATATTCTGGTCATATGTCTGGGTTATCCGACACTTCTCAAACCTAGCTCATAGACGGATTTGGGCCCATCTGGCCGCGTCCGTCATGTTGGACCCATGCCAAATCCCCCAAAATCGACCTCCACCCTTGCTCGACCTGCCCTTTTCCACACTGTTTTGTCCTCGCTCACGTTGCTCCTTGTTCGTCCTGCTCTCCCACCCTAGCTCCGTCGACGCTCCCGTCCAGGCCCAACTCGCAGTGTCGCCACCGCCATCCTCTGTCAACCTCAGACACGGTCAGCACCACGAACGCTGCCCCGATACATCCTACTCCGGCCGCCATTGAGTTTTTGATGAAATGTCGAAGTTTTTTATGGTTCTTTTGCACAATTGTAGGCAATGGATAGATTCGCCGGACAATGAGTGTGCTTACCCGGAGCTTGATGAGTTCATCGATTCACCTGATTCAGACATGGATAACGACGAAGATGAGGACTTGATAGTGATAATGAGCATCCTTGAAGAATGGAGAAAAGTAAGAGGGACATGTTCTCAACTTGAAGGGTTCGATGCCATGTAGATTAGTTGTTAACGGGATAGGATATTGGGAAAACGTGGTCTCTATGCCGACTACTTCAAACCCAACATGATATTCCATGAGGGTTATCTGGGCGTCACTTCCGGATGAGTAGTCATTTGTTCTTGTGCATAGTGGAGGATGTGAAGGCATATAATTCTTACTTCATGTCGAGGAGAAGGATTATTGAGGACAACTATCATTGTCTCCTATGCAGAAATGCATGGATTCACGATGCTAGCATATGGTACAATCGGAGATGCCATTGATGAGGTTGTCCAGATGAGAGAGAGAGCACATACGTTGAGGCAATGGTGAATTTTTCGTATAACATGGTGTAGATGCTTGGAATGGAGTACTCGAGAGAACAATATGCCAAGGACACGGAGAAATTACTGGTAACTGGAGAGAGAAACTATGCCTTTTTTCTTCTAATTTTAACTGTTTATTGTTGTATTGTTCTGTGTCATATCCATTATTCTATGTATTTGTATCGTTCAATGATCCACGTTCATGCAGGGCTGACCTAAGATTTCAGGGGCTCGGGGTAAGGTAATACTAAACCTGAGCATGGGTGGCCCGGCCCGAAGCCCGATGTCCGGTCCAGGCTCGGGACTCACTTTCCAGCCCTTAGCCCGGTAAATGCCCGACAAAACATGATTTCCAAGTTTTTATATAAATATAGGCATAGCATTAATCCCCCCAAATAGCTATTTTATTACTTAGAATATAAAAAGTAGACATGTTGTCGGGCTGCGGACCGGGCCCAAGCTTGGGATTTGGGGTCGGGTTCTTTCAAACCCGGCCCGGCCCAAAAATGCCCAGGTCTAGGCAATACATAGGGGGCCTAAAGGCACATAAACTTATGAGTATTCATATTACTATTTCTTCATAAACAACTCAATACACTATAATATGTGTTGCCTTGTGATCTACACTATCCAAAATACAAGATCATAAACATTTATGGTAAAAGTTGTTCACTCTTGTCCATCGAGACTTGTATTTTCTATATTTGTTACACTTTTGCGCCCACTCATATTATTGTCAAACTACATTTTTCAGTAAGTTGCTCTTCAAGAATAACTTAAGGTGATTCCTCGGAATTCAAAGCAGTTGTATCTGTTCTAATAAAATGCAATAGCTCATTTCTGGGTCTCCATTAAGTCATATGCATGTTTGTTGAATACTTTCTAGATGAGATCTTGCTAAGTAAATTACCGGAACAAGTCATTGAAATAACACACAAACACATCATACAAGAAATTAAGAACACTGTTGATTCGATAGAAAGGCAAAGCAAAGGCATGTAACATGGCGCGTGATCACCTGGATGGCTAGAAAAATCAGAAATTGCAAGATTTGTTACTAATTACAAGTCATGAACAAAATCCAAGTTCCTCTTACCTAATTCCAATCGACACGATCAATCAGAGTGTGAGATAGATTGATGTATGAGGACGACCTTCACGAACAAATGAACATGTAAAAGGAGGGACGGGATTTACATCGCAGAGGAAGTAGATGGGATTCAAGAAAACTGGATTATGTTCTTCCATTAATCACGCGGACAACCAAAAAAACACAGTTAGATGAAGTTGGCGAACGCCGCCGACCTGGCTGATTTGTTGACAATCGGGAAAGAGATGGGGAGAAGCCGGAGAGATTGTGCATGCAACGTGCTGCAAGCTGAGAAGTAACCAATCCATCGATGGATTATACTTTTTTCTAAATAATAAGTGCCACACGTCAGGTGCATGGCACTCCAACCCTGACGTTTTTCAGTGACAATTCTAGTCACACAGGATGGCAAATTTCATCGACACATGACTAAAAGTTCATGTCATCCTACTGGTTCCCTCTTATTGCCATGCTTGGTAACTAAAGATGCCATCCTTGCGTCACTAAACCTGCCATAAAAAACATTCAGAGTTGCCTTGTGCTCATACCTGACGTGTGACACATTTCTTAAGGATAATCCACCCATTATATGGGCTAAACGTCATCCATCCGGATCCGGGACCGGGGCGGCCGCCCCTCCCGCCCCCCTCAGGGCCGACTCGACCGTTCATGTGTTTGCGGAAATATAAGATTTTGGAAATGAGGGATGTGGTTGGCCGAACTTAGAGGCGAGGGTTCACCGGCTCTGTCCAATGACACATCGACGGACATGTGGGGTTTAAATTAGACAAGTTCGGCTGAAGATGTTCTCATACGCTATCCTTTTATGACAATACATAGTTATATTCTTCTTCTTTTTGCGATAACACGAAAGTTTTTGTGTGAGGAATAAAACCTAGGCTTCATCTCGTTTTGTTCCAGTCGAGGGCGACGTGATGCACAACGTTGACGCCAAATGTTGACAACTGATCGCCCAAGACGCAACCAAGTTAAGATGGCGATGCGTGTACAACGGTCCGTGACACGACGGGACGGTCGATGTCTTGTGACTTTGTGAGCACATACTTACGGAGTCGATCGCTTGGGTGCCCATGCAACGGAACAGAATTCCCGTGGATCCTCTCCGTAATCGCGATGATTTCAGAATGCCTCGTGTCGTGCGTTCAGTGTTCCTGGCATCCGTGACCCAAATCTACGCGAGGAAGGCTTAATTTGGACGAGCACGCACACAAGTCTACGGCCCGAACAGTAAATAGTGGAGCACTATTACTACGAAGCCATGAACGGTGCCTGATATCCCAAAGGAACACCAACCGAAGCCCCCACGCCTCCTTGTTCACGTGCCACGGCAAAGGGTGAAATTGTTCACGGGCTCGCGCCGAGCTCCTAGATAAAATGCCCCGACGACGGCCGTCAGGATGAAACCACCGCCTCGTGCCTCCATCGTCCCGAGGATCGATCGAAGAGCCTGACGTGCAGCGATGAGCCGCCGCACCAGGCGCGGCGACCGGCAGCAGCAACAGCCGCTGGCTCGTTCTACGACCGTGTCCAACAACCCGATCTTCTTCGTGCACGACGAGGTCGACAACGTGCCGGTTGAGTTCGCCAAGCCGCTGCCGCTGCCTCCTAGCAGGGCGCACCTGCAGCCTGCGGGCTCGCGGCGGGCAGCCGGTTCCACGTTCATGGCGAGCCGGCACGGGAGCGGCTGGGTCCTGTGGAGGGTGCACCACCACGACCCGTTCCTTGCCGCCTACGTCGCCTGCACCAAGAGCGACGGCGGTGGCAAGGTCGACGCCACTCCGGCGAAGCGGCAGCAGAAGAAGAACAGGGGCAGAGGCGATGCCGCTGTCCAGGGGTGCGGCATTTGGAGCGGTTGGACCGCGGCGGGAGCCAAGTACGCCGGAGCGATGTCGTGTAAGTACGGCTGCGACGTTGGCACCGCGCAGGGCGACGATCCTGCCGCGTCCCCGGCGCCCAGGCTGCACCTGTCGCGGCAGCTGGTGGTGATCCCGGCCAGGAGGAGGGCCCTGCAACCACGAGGGCGGGCGCAGGGCTGAGGGAGGGTGCTGTACTTGTGTTTGTTTCTGGTGCTGTGTAGTGCACCCTACCATGTAGTGGAACTCCCCCAACTGACTTATATTTCGGAACAGATGTAATAGTAACCTATAACCAATGTAACGATACTACTGCAGTGTGTAAAATTGTGAAGAGATAGAACTGTACTCCTTCCGTTTATAAATAGGGCGCAACTCTGCGCCGGCGCGCCGGCCGAAAATTTCGGCCGGTCCGGCGTGGGGCACACGATATAGCTTTTATAAACCGTACGATTTGGCCTTACAGAAAACGCTGAAGAAAAAAAAAAGCAAAGGGGAAAGAGACCAGCGTCCCGATGGTCCTCAGCCGCCGATGACCCGCGCTCGCCGAACCATGCCCATTTGCCTCGCCGCACACGCTCACCGCCGATGCTCGCCGTCGTCGCTCTCACCAAAAAGGTCGTTAACCGTAGCGGCCTTTTCTCTTGCCTCTGTGTTGCATCCATGGTAGCTCCGGGGCGTCGACTGCAACACCGTCCCTCGCCGGTGCTGCCCACCGCCGGCGTGGTCACCGCCCCCCACGTCCGTCACCGCAGCTCGCCACCACTCGCCGCAACTAAGAAAATAAAAAAAGTCAGCTGAAGCAAAATTTTAGCCGGTTCCAGCAAAACCATGGACCTTCGTCGCCGGAACGTAGCAAAATTTTTGGCCGGTCATAGCAAAAATAAAAGACGGTTCCAACAACTCACCATGGTTGCAGTTCCCCTCGCAGGCATGGTCGCCATCACCAGCATGGTGACCCACCAGGTTTGAAGCTTGCCGTTGTGTCGCTTGCAGCTCGCTAGACACCGGTTGTAGCACTGCCTCGTGCCGGTTGCAGCCTTGCCGACGATGGGCGTCTCTGGTTGTAGCTCTGGTGTACCACGGCTTGCAGCTCTGGCACGCATGGTTGAAGCTTCTGTAATACATGGTTGTAGCAAAAAAAAACTTCATTGATCCCATTCCTTCAGCAAAAAGCTACTACCGATGAAAAAAAAATGCTACAACCTATGAATCAAAAAGTTGCTACCGTCGAAAGTGGGAGTGTTGCGACCGGCGAAATCAAAAGTTGGAACCAGCGACGCGAAAAGCTACTGCCAGCGGGAAAAAATGTTGGAACCAACGAAACAAAGATTGGTGCTCGTGGATGAAAATTGCTACAACCGGCGAAAGAAAAAGCTGGAACCGATAAATCAAAAAGTTGCAACTGGCTAAAAGTTAAAAACAAAGCCATAGCCGCACGGCGTCTTGGGAAAAAATGGTGCTGCCGGTGTGCGAGCGCCGTCGCCTCAAGCTCACAGGGGAGGGGTGGTGGGGGAGCGCAGAGCAGCTCGTCGTCGCCTCAACGCGTGCTTTGCGGGAGGTGGTGGTGAGGACGCATGTCGGCAGGGAGGTAGAGAGGGGACGGGAGGGGACGGAGGTGCTTGAAGGCCAAATCCATGGCGGTGTGGCGTTCATGGCGAGGGGAGAGGAAAGAAGACCGACTGGAGGAGAACGAAGAAGAGATAGGAAAGAAAACGAGTGGAAGAGGAGAGGATAAGGTCAAGTGAAAAAAGCGGTGCATGGGCCCTCCCGTTCCGTAGGATCTACGCGTAGCGCGCGTCCGGCCGAACGTTCGACCCGCGTGCCGATTGGAAACGTTTACCTTATAAATATAAGGGTTTTTAGAGATATCAATACAAACTACATAAAGAAGTAAATTTGTGTGTGTATATTGTTCTGTGATCCATCATCATATAGACGAAACATGAAATCAACTGGGCGCTGCTACATCCACGGAGGATTCACTAGGAATTTACGGGTTTTTCTAATGCAACACACATTATACGAAGTGTCCCTCCTGTTAGCAGCACTCTTGTCACATGTATCTATTCCTCATCAATTTAGATTACAAGCCATGGATTCATCAAGCTCTAGCCATTACAAGGGAGGAGAGGAACACCAGAGGAAGAGGAAGACAGAAGAAGAAGAGGCCGAAGCCGTCCTGATCTGAGCCGAGATGTTCGTAGACCTTCCCAACGTACTTGTAGTAGCTCCCTCCCGAGGCCTTATTGTAGCCCAACCCAGCAGCCCATGGCCCAGCCTAGGTGATAGTAGGTTGGTCGCTGACATTTGCCGCTCCTTAAAGTTCAGCTTGACCTCAAGCCGATGGCATGTTAAACCACCTGGATCCTATGGTACTTGTGATTTCTTGAGTTCATCGAGAAACGTGGTGATGGTTGTAGTTATATGAGCCATGGTCGAACATGATTGAAGCAATGTTTAAGGAGGCATCGTAGAGGTAGATGTCGGTGACGCCACATACTTTCTCGAAATAGAAGTGGTATTTGTGGCCGACCTGGGCTTGCTCGAAGGAAGTGGCCAGAATTAGGACATACCTTCCTCCTTAAAATGCTCTTGGATATATCCTGGAGAGAAACTGCCAATGTGTCGAACCTCCTAGATCCCATATCAATTGAGGTGTATCAATTTCGACCCCCAACTAGCATCATCCAGGCCACAAAGATTATCTCGACGCCAAGCTGGGACGGAGCAAATATTCGGATTCCATTCCAGTTGTACAATTTTAAAGATTTTGTAGTTGATATTGGGAAGAGGATAATCTTTCGTCATTAAGTTAGAGCCATCCTGGAGCTTGCTCTGAAACTTGAAAATGCACCACTGATCTAATTTCTCCATGGGACCGAGAAGAGGAACACAGTCAGCAGGAGAAAATAGTGGATCTCCGCACTCTGCCTTTTGGAGCACAACAAAATTTGCACTCGTATGTCCGAATATTGTACTGAACATGTAGCAAGAATAACCACCACCAATATAATAGCAGATGATAATGAAGATGGCTGAAATGATCTCGCCAACTTTAGGCGAAAATGATTCCTTGAAATTCATTCTCTTCAGCATCATTTGGTGAACAATTGGCATTGGATATTTTTGAGAGCTTAATCCCCACTTGTGCATGCCCACTTCCTCTGAAAATAGCTACGCCTCTAGTGCAGGAAGAATTGTCAATGTCTGACTCCCAAGAATAGTGAAGCATCTTCTCTCTATGCCAATTAAGTGACCATGCAAATTCCCAATCAAAACATGTAAAACCATATTGTGTAGCAGCTTCCAGAATGAGCCTTTTGCAGTTTAGGCAACTGAACTCGACCAAGGGAATGTTTTATACTAGGACATCGCCTGAGTGCCATGGAAAATACAACTCAGGGTATGTTGCGGCCAGAATTTGTTGCTCAGACTAGTTGACAACATCCAAGTATTTCAAGTTAAGCGACCATGCAATCTTCCATTGGTTATGCTATAGAACACACTGAAAAACATGCCCAGTCTTTAGCATAATCTGGTCCACACATAGATATCTCCAGAAGCTCAAATCCTGATAATGCAACGAAGGAAGCATACCCAGTTTGAAGTGTGTCCAGAATGTGATGGTAACAATCCCACTACATAAATAGGCTGATCCAGCACCAGGTGAACCCACTGCCAAAAACCTAAACCATTTTTCTTGGTATGTGGCAGGACAGTTCCGCTGCACCCATAGAGTCACACAATGTAGTCGAGTATGGAGACTTGATAGAGAGATTTGAGAACTGTAAGACCATGCAATTGTCCACTAAAAATTCTGACAACCATATAAGGACTCGCATCCAGCAATGCAGTACTGGAACCAAGACTTCCTTTGCATCATCTCTGAATTTTTAGTATATACCTCGCAGAATCTGACATGAAATCTGACATCTGCGAACAACATCAGTTAGGATCCTTGTGGAAGAATAATTCCACTGCACTTCAGCTCTCCCATTGAGGACGGCGAGGTATACACCAGAGTTGGAATCCTTTGGCACTGTGATTTTCCTTGAAAAATACATCCTTGCATAATGACAGTACTTGAGAACCCATATCTCTCGAGGAGGAATATGCATACTAGGTGTGATAGCCAAATTATTACTTTCAAGAGTACAATGAAGATTATCTAGACATCACCCATTCCCCATAGTATGTGCAGCTCGCCTCGCCAGTAATACGTCAAGAGTGCTTCCACTAAGAAAGTGCGTGTTAAAACAAAAAGGATCTGGCCACTTGAATACAATTGGCTCCAGCTGTGTTATTTGAACTCCAAGTACAAAAGCAATCATAGTGAGATCCGCACTCCCTGTAGGTTCCCATGTTTCCAAGTCTTGCAAATCTCCTGATAGTTGCATAACATATAGTGGACCTTGCATGTTGAAAATTCTAGAAGTTGTGCTCATGTTTGAGGGAGAAGGTAGCCATGGATTATTCGCATCCCAGAACATCAACTTCGTACTCTGGAGAGCAAGTCATCCACGAGAAACCACTGTGACATATCCTTGCCTGTTGTTGTTCCAGAATTTTACGCACCAAGTGGAGTCCATGGTGTATGTAGTGATTCCATGCCAATTAGCTTGTGCTCGGTGAATGATTTAGCTAGGATAAGGGCCACAATTTTAACCTTGTTGGTAGTTACAGGGACCACCACATCGAGAGAAGTTGGCGACGGCGAGGTGACTTCATCGCCGCCCTCGATTAGTTCTTCCGTAGTTGGACCCATGGACGAAACCAAGACAGTAGCTATTAATGCTGGGGTCGACGCTGATGAAGCATGTCACCACCATTCAGGACGATAATGTCGATGCCATGTCCGTGTCGTCTCCCAGGTTTTTGGTCATGCAGATGGAGGGTCTGACATAGCCAAGACACATCTCTTGTGTTGAGACCGCCGCTAGGACATTGGCCGGTGTAGAGTCAGTAGGCACCATAGAGGGATGTGTCTAGATGTCGATGCATGCACAGAGGCCATGGCCAAACCGGTGTTGGAGACAACATCGTGCATGGGGGAGTTCACCGCGGTTGAGCGGTCGTCCGAGATGTCCAGCATGGGGGTCAGACTCGAGGCTAAGGCCGCTGGTCCGAGGTCGAAGTAGCCGCACTCAGGGACGACACCGACAGTGACCTTGGACGAAGCTAATTTTGAGATGGGAGCGGGCTCTGACACCAACCTGGTGATGACGCGGCTTGGGCCTTGCGTCGAACATGTTCCGGGTGACATGGCAGCGAGGTCAGCGCCAGGGTATGCGGCAATGCGGCGGTTGTTTTCGAGTCGTAGAGTGGCCCCGTGGTTGATGGAGGTATTGGTGGTGGTCACAACAGGCATGAGAGAATTAGTGTTGCCGATGTTGTGGAAGCCCATCGCTCGAGCATGATGTATCTCCTCGATCTCCTGGCGGATGTGTTGCTTCGAGCCATCAGTGTAGGCACGCGTCTCCGGCCGCCTTGATGGAGCTAAGTAGCCGTGCTTTCCATTCCATGGAACTAATGATGAGTGGTGGAATTGAAGGAGAAGGGTCATGGGAATGGCTGTGAATACCAATTGTTAGCAGCACTCTTCTCACAGGGATCTATTCCACATCAATTCAGATTACAAGCCATGGATTCATCAAGCACTAGCCATTACAAGGGAGGGGAAGGAACACCACAGGAAGCGGAAGACAAAAGCAGAAGAGGCCGAAGCCGTCCTGTTCACCTCGGTGTTCTTGAAGTTCTATCTGATATAATCTTCTTTTGCGGTGTGTTTGTTGGGATCCGATGAATTGTGGGTTTATGATCTGAATATTCATGAGAAGTAACTCGGTCTTTTCTAAATTTATTATGCATGATTGTCATAGCTTTGTATTTCTCTCCGATCTATCATTTTGGTTTGGCCAATTGGATTGATTTATCTTCAAAGAGAGAGAGGTGCTTTGTGATGGAATCGATCTTGTGGTACTCTTTATCCCAGTGAAAGTTATGGACAATACACGTATTGTTGCCATTAAGGGAAAAACAATGGGGTTTATTCATATTAATTAAGTTTACTTTTTGTACATCTTGTCATCTTGCTTAAGGTGCT